TGCATTAACAACATAAAATTTAATAAATTGTAAGGCGTTCTTAACTGATATTTGTGTATATGCTCGTATAATCCTTTTTCACTGATATTTTACAGATATATTGGCAGAAGTATATATGTGAGTGTGCATAGTGGACTGTGGGAGTACTTTGCCTCTAGTTGGGCTTTTATGGCAATATTAATGCTATATGCTGACTTCTCACCCACCTTTCCCCTTACCCTTTGGCTCTCCCAATACACACAAGTGAAGTAGTTCTGATATTGGTCAAGGATATAATGGATAAAGACTACAAAATTTGGCAACCATACTAAGGTGAGGCAAGGGTAGGGGCTGGTGAATGTAAAAGTGTTTGTTTAGATCTTTTTGTAAAGCAAATAAAACAGTAATAAAGAAAGTGGTTTGAAATAAATTTCTTCTTTTATTTGCCTCACTGGATATTTTTCTGTCTTAGAGCCAATGTGCTAGGACAGACCTGGGTTGAACCAGTTAAGAAGTACCTTTTGGAGGATCAAAGGGGAAGAAGAATGAGACTAAGGAGCTAGCCACTAAATTGATCTTGTTTATTACTGAAGTTTAAGGAGCAGAAATAGTCTTTTCAAGGGTCATACAAGGTCTGGCCATCTCATTAGAGTTTAAAAAAAGATGAGGGGATGGGGAGTTGGAATCAACACTTTTAATAAAGATGAAGATACATTTTCCTATTGTATATTTTTAATTTTCCAAGGATTCAGGCATTTAAATTGGTCAGTTCATAATAACATGAATTGAGCATCATGGTGGAACCTTTGAGATTTTTTACTCATTTACATTGAAGCATCTGCACTTATATTCTCTGCCTTCCTGCTTGTTACTATAGAAAAGATAAGCAATCCCTGCTCTAACTGTGCGTGGAACCTACCCTATTTTTATCTACTCAAGGACATAGCTCATGAAATTCTCTGAAATGCAGTATGAGATTCGGTGGGGAATAAAGTTTTATAAAAATAATTATCATAGTTCAAATTTTTATGCTAAATGATATGGAATAACTGAATAACTTGAATAATTTTCGTAATTTAAAATGTCTTTTATATTGGGGATTTGACTTCTGCTTATTCTGTTTAAAATTAGTGTTATGTGTCAACTGTAAGAGGTAACTTAGACTAAAGTGGTGGTTCTCAAACTTTTTGGTCTTGGGGCCTCTTTACAATCTTAAAAATGCTTGAAGACCTCAAAGAGCTTTTGTTTATGTGGATTATATTTATTGATATTTACCATATTAGAAATAACTGATAAAAATTTTAAAATATGCATTTATTAATTAATTTAAAAATAGCAGTAAATCCACTGTATGACAACTAACTGTATGCAGTAGACAGAATTCTAAGTTATGTGCAATGAGTCTTACCCTTCCCTTGGGTACGTATAAAACCTGTGACTTGCTTCTAGCTAGTAGAGTATGGCAAAGATGTTGGGATAGTCAGTTATATAGTTATATTACATTATATGAGATTATGTCTTCAATTGGAGCAAGAGATTCTTCTGCTGGTTTAGAAGTAAATAAACTGCTATATTGTAAAAGGGCTGTGAGAGAGCCATGCGTCAGGGATCTGTGTGGGGCCTGTAGGAGCTGAGTAGTATGTCTCTGACAGCAAGCGAGAAAGTGAGGACCTAAATCTTTGAGCCACAAGGAACTAAGGCATGCCAACAATCACATGAGCTTGCAAAAGGATCCTGAGCTCAGAAATAAACGTGGTCCAGTGGACATCTTAATAACAGCCTTCTGAGGCCCTGAGTCAGAGGATCATTTAAACCGTACTTGGACTCCTGATCTATGGAAACTGTAAGATAATAAATATATGTTTTTTAAGCTATTAAAAGTATGGTTATTTGTTTTGCAGCAATGGAAAACTAGTACAGCATATTTCAAAAAAAGTAAAGAAAAGAAAAATTTAGTGAGAAAAGTGACACTATTTTACATTTTTGGGAAATTCCATTATTGTCTAACTTAGTGGAAGACAGTTTCTGTATTCAATATATCGAGATATCACACATAATTTAGCCTCTGGAAAACTCCACTGTACACCCAAGAGAGAATGAGAATCAAAAAGGCAAATAATATTTTAGTATTATACATATAGGTTTGACCCTGCAGATCCTCTGAAAGGGATTTAGGGATTCTACTGAGGGCACTGGATTACACTTTTAAGAACTGCTAGATTTTGGAATAAATTTTCAGTAGTCTCCTCCTCTACCACCAACAGAGTATTGAATTGTATGTGGACAAGATTATATAAGATAACGTAACATATATGGAACACTCAGCTTCCTTGACTGTTTTTCACTTGATTTCTGCTTTTGTCCTTGAGTTCGTCTATGTGGTTTATTTTCTCTACTCCTTCTGGTAAGAAAATACAGTAGATCCTTACTGACTCTCATTTCTAGGAGTAATAGATGGGAATATGTTTAATATGCAGTGAATTGAGACAGAGTTTTTCTAAATCATCCTGGCATACTTTGACTGTAGTATTTACCTGCAAAGGTGCTGTAGCCATTGAGAGATTTGATTTAAAACCCAAGAGGAGTTTTTAAACTGTAGTTTTTCACTTATAAGAAGTTTATAGGAATTTTCTTTTTTTTTTTTCTTTGAGAGTCTTGCTCTGTCACCCAGACTGGAGTACAGAGGTACAGTCATAGGTGACTGCAGCCTCTAGCTCCTGAGATCAAGCAGTCTTCCTACCTTAGCCTCCTAAGTAGCTAGGACTACAGGCGAATGCCACCACGCCCAGGTAATTTTTTATTTTTGTTAAGATGGGGTCTGACTACATTGCCCAGGCGAGTCTCGAACTCCTGGCCTCAAGCAATCTTCCTGGCTTGGCCTCCTAAAATGCTGACATTACAGGATGAACCACCACACCCAGGCTTATTTTTTAAAAAGTGTGTTTATCTATTTTTATGTATGTGTTTTTTTCTGTATGTGTAATACTTAATAATGGTACTAATTGTTATTTCTCTTGATTGTTTTTGTTTAATTTTGTGTGACCATTTTTATTCCTAGGAATCATGAAGAGTGAATTAGCCCCGTGCATCTCAAGATAGCTTAATACTTGATAAATTCGCTATTGTCCTAGGATTTGGGATGCAGCTTAGTGTTACAAACATTAATATATTGTGTGGATTTCTTCTTTAGTAATCTGCAGCTACTCTTTTTTTTTTTTAAATAACCAAGTCAGCAAAAATAAATAGTACAGAGAATCAAAATTGTTGTTACATATAATCAACTATTTTTATTTCCATGATACATACCTGAGAGTTGTTAATATCTATTATTTGACACAGTTGGAAATTTTAAGGTATGATTTGGAACTCTTTGTTTGGAAATAAGGTCTTTCAAGGTTGGTTTGAAGGTTATTGGTAGAACAGTTCTCATTTTGCTTACCTAATTACACAGTACTTGAGCTGGAAAATTAAACTTTTTTTTGACTTCCCAATCTCTACTAATGCAATCTCTCTTCCACTTCTTTTCATTTTTTCCTTTATTACATTTCCACCTGAACTTTTTTATCTATTTCTTAGAGTTAGTTTTCACCTTATTTTTCCTCATTGATATTTTCAAATTCCTATTGAGTTTTCTGTATATTCAATCTCTTTAATCACTTTAAACTTCCTTTTCTCTGCCTCAGTTGTGATAAAGCAGGATTAATAAATTTTAGTTACATCTCTCAGAAATATTTATAGTATTTTTCACATAACCAAGATGGCAAGACTACAGTGTATAGGGAGTCCAAATTGTTGCAATGTAAAATAACTTTTTTATTTCTGTGATATATATCTGAAACTCACTTATATGAAAAATTTAACATAAAGTTTTGAGGTATAACTAAAACCTCTGTCTAGAAAGTGGTAAGACAACAGATTCTCTTCTATTTGACTTTGTTTAATAAGAATTAGAGTCACGAGGGTGGGAGGATTATGAAGATTCGATTTGTGCCCTTGCAATATTTCTTTTTTCTGCCTAAACGTGTTTGAATCTATGCTTTATTGTTTTATTCTCTCAGAAAGCATAAGGCTTAAGAGTTATGTTTATCTTCAAGGCTGAAGGCCTTGTTCTTTTTATCTGTATTTTTATATCACCTTTGGATTTTAAATTGCAAGGACCCTTAAAAACTGTAACAGTAACTTACATTTTAAGTGAGATTTCCATAAGAAGTTGCGGAATGACAGAGATACAGTAGTACCACATAAGAAGCACTGGACTATAAGTCACAAGATCTAGGTACTAGTTCTAACTTTGTGACCAACCATTTGGTCCAAAAAGCCTTGGATGAAACAATGCATCATATCTCTTTTCTGTAGAAGGAGGAGGTTTAGATTCTATTTTAAATGTGATAGGATCTTATCTTAGATAAATCTAGGAGTACTTTTTACTCCTATCTTGACCATGACCAATCAATGACTAAGTCCTGTTGATTCAACATCTACCTTTTAAGTCTGTTCTTTTTTCTCTATCTTATTATGATCACTTTAATCCACGCCAACTAAAATCTTGCCTGGACTATTACATTAACTTTCTAAATGATCTCTCTGCTTCCACATACAGTGAGATAATATTTTGGTGTATTTATGGTTATATATCCTCCTATGTATTTCTTATTAACTCCTGAATCTTCTCCATTCTGGCTACTAGGACTTGATACATCTGTTGACTCAAAAAGCATTGTTACAGCAGAACACATAATTATTCATGGATTTGATTAAAAATCAGAATCTCAACAGTTTTCCATGCTCTGTAGGATGTGGCTACTGTTTCTTCTCCAGCTATTTCATTTCTCCCTGAATTGACCCCTTGTGGTTCTTTGATTTTGCCATAATCAGTGTCGTCTCTTGATCTTTGTACATCTTTGTATATGCGTATTCCATATCTGGAATACTCCTTTGTCCCACTTTTGGCTTGGCCAATGCTTATCATTTGGTGTTTCTCATCTTGAATCTATTTTTTTTTTTTTTGTCTGTTTGTTTAGGAAAACTTCCTATGAACTTCTGAACTCCAAGACTATTTCAAGGTAACCTATTATTACAAGTTTTCTTCACATTTCTAATCTGAATTCTCAATAACACATATAATTTCTTAGTCTCTGTCTTCCCTGCTATACTACAGATAAAAACTCCTATAAGGGCTGGATGGTGTCCTCGCTACTTCCTTTTTCCTTTTCTTTTTCTCTTCTTCCCTCCTCCCTCCACTCCTTTTTCTTTCTTTCCTGCTTTAGTACTTAGAAAAGTACCTTTGATACTTTAGTCAGTATTTAAATACTTGTTGAGTGAATGAGTGAATTTTGAACAGTGATTTATTCTCCCAATACCTGCATAAAGCACAATACCTTGAATTGCAGTAACCTTGAGATTCGCCACCTTTGGCTGAGGACTGGAATTCAGACTGAGGGCACCATCAAGTGGGGAGGCTCCATCCTCAAGTGGCTTTATAATCAGCACATGTTACTGATGAGAGGATATGAGTAGACTTAGAGGACTGTGGAGGCATATTTGGTATGCCTGGTACTTGCACATTTATAGGAGGTCTTTTAGCAGGAAGCTGACGTCCTGCTAAATACAGGTAGGTAAAAAATCCAAGGAAATTTGAGATATTAGTCTTGATGTAATCCCTTTTGTAACTAAAGCACGATGGAGCAGAAGGCATTTGGGATTCAGCATAAAATTTTGAAGGAACTTTGTAAGTCAGATAATCTTAGCTTCTGCATAATTCAGTCTTCCTTTACACAAATCCCTTATGTCCTCTTCTTGAATACATTTAAGGGCAGCAAGGTGGAACATAACAGCAATTGCTTGAGCCTTTGTCACAGGACTAATTCTAACCAGTTCACTCTTCAGTAGCTCTCCAAAGACATCTGCCTATATTGGAATAGAAAAAAATGTTCCCATTAGAATCACCATTAATATTGCCTCTAAGGTGAGCCTCCTTAGAGGCAATTGTATTAGTTCTAGTGGCTTCCTGGGCTATGCTGACAAGGAAGGTGGGCAGGGAAAGATAAAAAAGAAAGAAAGGAGAAGGGAGGCAATGAAAGAGAGTCAGCCAAGTACCTTCCAACTCACTGTTTCCCATTGACACTCAATCAGTGGCAAGCAGCTAGTCAGTACTTGTAGCATATTTAACTGAATGTATTATATAGCCGGCAATGACAATATATTCTAGTTTATGAGAAGTGTTCTGTCATATGCAAGTTCTAGTGAAAGCAAAGTACTTTAAACTTTATTGTTATACCTTTATGTAGATATTTTTTCTTCAGTATTGAACCTAATGATGTCCTTTAAAAATTTTTTATTGTAAATATTTAAGATCTACAACATGATGTTTTGATATACATATAGATACTAAAAAAGTTACTTTACTCATGCAAATTAACATATCCTAATGTTCTTAAAACTTCTAAGGCACTTTTTTCTGACAGCCAATGTCAAAGTGAAACAAATATTTGTATTTATAGAATAGGTAGCCTTTGGGAGAAAAGATCCCTCACCGCCTTTTTTTCGTAGTGTAATGAGTAGAGAGAGGAATTATATGAAAGAAAGGAATTATGAATGGGCACTCTTGGAGGCCAATATTATTCCATAGTATTTCATTTGTTCACATATTTTGCTGAAACACTTTTAATAGTTGTGCCAATGATTATTATTTCTAATATCTTATATAGTAACAATGTGCAGTCAATATTTGTTTCTCCAGGAATCTAGGTGCACTTGGAAGTTACTAGGTAACAGGTGACTTGTAGAGGCAGTTTGCAAGTTTAGGTGTGAGTCCTTGAAGTCCCAGGGCTATAAACATTCCTTATATTGTGGCTCTTGGTGAATGTAACTATTGGAGATGGAGTTGAAGCTTATTTATGTTGATATAGCTCCCTGAAATTGTAATGTTGCTTTCAGTGGTTCTCTTGTTAGTTACCAAGGAAATATATACTTGGAACTAGCAGTCCTAACTCTAAAAGGATTTTCCAAATTGTTTTTTCAGGGATCTTGGTCCTTTTTCTTTTAGTTGGTAGAATCTCCAGGTGTCACTCTGGACATTCTCATTGTGGAGCTTAAATCTAGGTTTGGTACTCTATAACTAACTCTTATATTCAACAAGAAAGATACTTCTGCTGTTGCCAGCTTTTATTTTTATTTAATTAAATTAATTAATTTATTTTTGAGTTGGAATCTTACTCTGTCACCCAGGCTGGAGTGCAGTGGCACGATCTTGGCTTACTGCAACCTCTGCCACCTGGGTTCAAGTGATCCTCCTGGCTCAGCCTCCCAAGTAGCTGGGATTACAGGCACCCACCACCACACCTGGCTAATTTTTTGTATTTTTGATAGAGACGGGGTTTCACCATGTTGGCCAGGCTGGTCTCGAACTCCTGGCCTCAGGTGATCCACCCACCTCGGCCTCCCAGAGTGCTGGGACTACAGACATGGGCCACCATGCCCAGCTGTTGCCAGGTTTTAGGTGTTGGAACTGCTGTCGCAAAACCTGCTTTTGTACTGGGTTATTAAAGCAACCTAGTAATACTTTTGAGAATAATGCCCCTCAAACCAAAGCAGAGTAGGATTAGCCCTTACATTTCTGGTTTAGAAAGAAGAATGAGAGAGATCACAATTATGGTGCGGCTTCACACATTTGTGGTGGCTTTCACCATGCTTCCCCTTTCTTTTTTGAATTAAATGCCAGAAACTGTTGTGTTATTAGTCTGTTCTGCAGCAATGGTCAGAATTATCGATAGATACAGGGTTGAGTCCCTAGCAATGCTCTAAAATGTTTTTGTACATCAGAAAACAACATGTTTTTTTCAGCTGGCCATCAACAAATTTTTAAAACTTATGAAAACCAATGTAACAATTTTGGACTGTTTCCTGTGTTTTATCTGAAATTTTATGAGTAGAAATGTACTAGTCATCTTTAGATTTGTAGTGTGGTTATTTAGGTCTAGGCTGTTCTTCCTTTCTTCCATTCCTGAGTGTACTGTATGGTTCATCCTAAGTTGAAGCATAAGTCAAATTGTTACATTATTATTATTATTATTATTATTATTATTATTTTTGAGATGGAATTTCACTCTTGTCTCCCAGGCTTGAGTGCAGTGGCACGATCTGGGCTTACTGTGCAATCTCCACACACTGCGCGATCTTGGCATACACCTCCGCCTCTCGGGTTCAAGCGATTTTCCTGCCTCACCCTCCCAGGTAGCTGGGATTACAGGTGCATGCCACTATACCTGGCTAATTTTTGTATTTTTAGTAGAGGCGAGGTTCTTCCCCTTTCTTTGTGAATTAGATGCCAGAAACTGTTGTGTTATTAGTCTGTTCTGCAGCAATGGTCAGAATGTTGGCCAGGCTGATCTCGAACTCCTGACCTCAGGTGATCTGCCTGCCGTGGCCTCCCAAAGTGTTGTGATGACAGGCGTGAGCCACTGTGCCCGGCCCAGATTACCTTTTTTGAATGCCTTCATCTTCCTTCTTTTGTTAGGAATTCCATCATCTGCCTTTTTTTTCTTATATGTTATCCCTGAGGTCAATTGTTCTATGATCTGTGCCTCAGGGAAATACAGAATACTTTACAACAGAGTACTTTAATGTGCAAAATATATGAAGATACTATTTTCAAAATGTTTGTTCTCTGGACTATCTTTCTTATAACCCTTAGATTTTTATCAGTCGAATGCTTCAAGTAGTTAGTGGAACAAGAATAATGCAATGGAAGAGAGAATGCAGTTGTTTCAATTATATAGATGGGACTACAGATATAAATTTTAAGAAAAGGAAAAATTCCTTTAGCATTTCAGGGATTTTGGTTATAGATTATATATGGTATATATCTTATGATTTTAATGATTCATTAACTTTAGTTATTTGTTTGTTTTCATGTATGGAATATTTTAATAGAAATGCTTTGGTACTCTTAAAAATTAAAACTAAACCCAGCCTGTAAAATTAAGTATGTCATGAATTATCATGGCTTATCAGGTTAGAGACTTGTGTTGTTTTTAATTCAAGAGCATAACTTTCCAATTTTGATTCTTTTATTTAATTTTTGAGTTGGTGTTAACTTTCTTAAGATTATTTAGCTTAGCCACTAGGCATTTGTAAACCAAAATTCTTAAATAATTTTAATTTAAGAATTTATACTTCTTTTTTTTTCTTATTTATTTATTTTTATTATTATACTTTAAGTTCTAAGGTGCATATGCACGAAGTACAGGTTTGTTACATATGTATACATGTGTCACGTTGGTGTGCTGCAGCCATTAACTCGTCATTTCCATTAGGTATATCTCCTAATGCTATCCCTCCCGCCTGCCCCCACCCCATGACAAGCCCCAGTATGTGATGTTCCCCACCCTGTATCCAAGTGTTCTCATTGTTCAATTCCCACCTATGAGTGAGAACATGCAGTGTGTGGTTTTCTGTCCTTGCGATAGTTTGCTCAGAATGATGGTTTCCAGCTTCATCCATGTCCCTACAAAGGACATGAACTCACCCTTTTTTATGGCTGCATAGTATTCCATGGTGTATATGTGCCACATTTTCTTAATCCAGTCTCTCTTTGATGGACATTTGGGTTAGTTCCAGGTCTTTGCTATTGTGAATAGTGCCGCAATAAACATAAGTGTGCATGTGTCTTTATAGCAGCATGATTTATAATCCTTTGGGTGTATACCCAGTAATGGGATGAAAAAAGAAACATGCATTCGTATGTTCATTGCAACACTACTCACAATAGTAAAGACATTGCATCCATCTAAATGCCCATCAATGGTAGACTGCATAAAAAAAAGTGGTACATATATGCCATGGAATACTATGCAGCCATGAAAAAGAACAAGATCATGTTTTTTTGCAGGGACATGGATGGAGCTAGAGGTCATTATTCTTAGCAAACTGATACAGGAAGAGAAAATCAAATACTGTATGTTCTCACTTATAAGTGGGAGCTACATGATGAGAACACATGGACACATGGAGGGGAACAACAGACACTGTGGCCCATTGGAGGGTGGAGGCTAGGAGGAGGGAG